AGGGACCCAGGGATCACCCCACAGGCCTCCTGGGGATGCAGCCTTCCCTCTTAGAAGTGCTGGGGTAACCCATCTTCCACAGCAGCAGGCACCGGTTTCATGGCAGACCGTTTTTCCGTAGACCAGGGGAGGGATGGTTTGGGGATGACTCAGGAGCGTCACATTTAATGTGTGCTTTATTCCTGTAATGATTACATCACAGGATATGACGGAACAATTCTACAGCTCACCAGAGCGTGGAATTCGTGGGAGTCCTGAGCTCGTTTTCCTGCATCTACACGGTCCCCTCTGAGGGTGACGGAGACAGAGAGAGATCTTCAGGCATTGGATTCTCATAAGGAGGGTGGCTCCCTTGCAAGCGCGGTTCACAGCAGGGTGCGAGCTCCCATGAGAATCTCCAGCAGCGACTGATCTGACGGGGTGGAGCTCAGGTGGTGAGGTGGGTGATGGGGATCGGGTGTCGGCTTCGCACCCTCACCCACTGCTCACCCCACGCTGTGTGGCCCGGTTCTCCACAAGCCGTGAACTGGTCCTGGCCCACGGCCTGGGGTTTGGGGAACTCTTTCCTAAGGGTGCCCCCACCCCGCCAGCCTCCCTGGAAGCTGTGTTCACCTGCACTTCACACGGCCTGAAGCTGCCTGACGGTGCAGGGTGAGCAGAGGCCAGGGCTGGCACAGACCCAGACCCCTCAGGGCTTCTCTGGTCTCCCCCCTCCCCCTGGTGCCCTTGGATTCCTTCCTGGGGCCCTCCTGCCTCCGGGAGAGGCTCCATCCTCCATCCCAATTCTGCCCTGACCCGGAAGCCTAGGGTGGGTAAACCTCAAAAGCCCGGCCTCCCAGCCAGGACTGCCCCAAACTGTCTCACCCAAGCAGGTCCCCACTGGCTCTCTGCTGACACAGGTTAACTGATGTCACCCAGAAGGTCCCTAGGCCTGCAGCCTCCAGGCTGGCCAGGCCTCCCACCCCCACCACCGACAGGGCCTCTAATGTCTCCTGGGCTCCCTCCTGAATGTCTCTGGTGAGCCAGGCCTCTGGAACTGTGCCCTCCACCCCTCCCCTCCCTTACACCCCAGTGCCTGGAACACAGGCCAGGCTGGGGTTTTGGGGAGGCAGGCAGTCATTACTCACATGTGGTCAACAGCTTCGCTTCGGAGTCAACACCGTGGGCCCTCGAGCATCTCTCAGGAACATCTTCTTCCAAGGGACCCTATCTGAGAGTGGCCCAGGCTGATTATAAAACCGGCATTCACGATGCCTGACACCCGCTCACTTCAGCCCACCACAGCTACGGCCTTGGCCATGCCTATTCCCATCTCACCAGCCTAAGCCTCCCTGCCCCACTCCCCACCCCTCACCCCTTCGTGCCCCCAGGGGGCAGCCCTGAACTCCCAGACCCACACTAGCAACAGATCCTCCCCACCTGCTGGACCACACGGGAGGGGGCTGGGCAGCGCCTCTTCCTCACGGCAAGAGCTCTGGGCTCCCTTCCTGACAAAAGCCCCTACCTACCCTTCCCACATGCATGAGGAGAGGTAGCTGCAGGCAGCTTCTTGACAGGCAGGGAAATATTTCACCTTCCTCCACTGCAGCTGAAGGGATCAGGGACCCTGAGCCCCCCACAGACCAGCACCTTCAGACCCCAGGTCGCACAGAGGACCCCGTGGCCCCCAAAACTAGCACAAGCCCTGGACTTGGGGGCTGTAAGGACCCCTGGGTGCTCCCTGATTCATCTCTCTGTCCTCAAAGCCTGGCTTGGGGCCCATGCTTGGGAGAAGGCTGCTGGCCTGAATGAATGAAGGGATGAGTGACTCAGTGGTTTGCCGTGAGAGCCACTGCTCGGCATGGATTCTGGGATCGCCAGGGCCTCCCAAGTCCACTGAGGGGCCAGAGCAGGCTCTGATGAAGGTAACGGGAAGCAGGAGTCTGGGGTCCCCAACAGCAGCTCCTGGCTGGGCCAAAAGGGCACGCACAGAGGCTGACCTCGGAACAAGATCCCAGCACCCAGCCTGGGGTTTTGAGCCTTTTTATGTTCTAAACACCACCACTGGAAGTTTCTGAAGTGCCTTGGGGCGGTGGGGGGGGCGGGGTGGGCGGCATTTCAATGTTTCCAGGCTCCTTCCCTTCCCAAGGTGATGGACAAAGCAGAGGTGAGACCTTAAGCCTGGTGGGTCAGATGTGAATTGGCCCTGGGGGGCCTGAGGCCCAGAGACAGCTTGAAAAGCTTCTCTCTGGGAAACACGTTTCCGCTCTCGGAGGAAAAATCATGTGAATCACAGAACTGATGGATGGCCCTGCTCCCAAAAGTCAGTCACAGCCATCGAGTGACATTACCACCCTCCCCGTCATGCCCTTCCCTGGAGCTGTCCATGCTGGGGCTCCCGGCGAGTGAAAACCCTTCCCATCTTTGTTCAGCCTGGCGAACTTCTCCTCATTAGCCCTGGAAGGGGGAGGAAAGATCTATGGAATAAGGGAGCTCTCTGATAATGGCCCTATTGTTAGGGTGACCCCAGAGGGAAGGCAAACAGAGACGCACAGAGTCTTGCTGACAAGCGGACTTTGTCTTCCTGCAGCAGCTCCTCGCAGAAAAGACGGAGGGAAAAGGCTCCATTTTGGAAACAGGGAAAAATCAACAGGAGAAAAAAAATGTGTCAATGAGGGATCTGTTTTCTGGGAAAAGACATGCTTTTTCATTCCCTTCAGATGCGTTTTGGGCCAAGTGAGCTTGTCAGTTATTTGCAGAGAAGCTATTTTGAGAAGCATTAACCTTAATTCTCATGGCAGCAAAAGTCTTCCACAAATCGTGTCCTCATTTGGGGTAAAACAGCCAGTGAGAGGGTGGCTTTTGTGTCGACAGGGGGGCAGAGAAAGGCATGAACCGCAAAGGTAGCTCGAGGGGGCTCTGGGAGAGAGGCCACCGCCAGCCCGGAGCCTGGCTCCAGGCCCTCCATGGCCGGACAACTTCTCCCACAAGCCTTGGTCCTCATTCAGGCCAGGGAAGCCAGATGGAATTCACTCCCCCAGTTCCAGGAATAAGAACGAAATTCTGAGATGACAAGCAGTGGGCCAGAGCCTGGGCATGACCCCACCCCCAAAGAGGCCCTGAGGTCACCCGAGACCCCGAGGGAGGAAGCCGGCTCTTCCTCTGTCCCACGATGGGGTTTGTGGTCCTGGATTCCTGAGACCATCAGGCCACCTGGAGGCTCCAGGAAGCTGGAGAGGCTGGACAGAGGGGCGTCCAGCTTCACGACGCAGGGAACAGCAGGCAGTCATCCACGTAAGAGCTGTGTGCCAGCACCACGGCAGCCTGTCTATCACAGCCCCAAGCTGGAAAGAGCCCGAATGTCCACCACTGGTGCCTGCATGAACTATGGAAAGGAACAAAGACCTCCTAAGTGAGAACCGGCAGAGGCCACTCACCCAGAGCTGGCTGCAGCAAGGGGGTCAGCCTCCCAGGCAGGCAGGGGAGTGGGAAACTTCAGAGGGAAGCCTCCAGGTAAGCCCCGACGGAGGCTGCTGGCCTAAGGAGCTGGAGGCAGACCAGAAGCAGGTGTCCTTCCGGGCTGGGATTAGGGAGGGCCTGTGCAGAGTTGGAATATGAGTTGGAAGTGGGGACGAGAGTTAGGGAAACCGTTGGTTGCTGATCAGGTGCCGGCACCTGGGACGGGCTGCTGCAGGTGTTAGTGTTTTCATTGCTGCAGACCCTGGGCCAGAGTCCCTTGGTTTTTTTAATAATGTTTCATTCCTACAGCAGTAAGAGGTTCACAACAAAATTGATCCGAAGGTGCAGAGATGGCCCATCGCTCCCAGCCCCCACACACTCAGCCTCCCCCACTGTCACCGTCCCCCACCAGAGTGTGCCTGCATCCACATGGCCTCACCCACAGTCCCACCGAGGCTCACTCTTGGTGGACATTCTGCGGGTTTTGGCTAACGTGGAAGGGCGTGGGCCCACCCCGTCAGCATCATACAGAGGGGCTTCACTGCCGCTAAATCCCCTGGGCTCTGGCTCTCTACCCCTCCCTCCCACCACCTAGGCAACCCGGCCCTTCACTTCTCCACAGCGTTGCCCCAGCCAGGATGCCATGTCACGGATATCACAGTGTGGAGCCTTTTCAGACTGGCCTCTTCCCCTCAGAAATATGCATTTAAGATGCCTTCACGTATTTTCTTTTTTTTCTTTCTTTCCTTTTTTTTCCCTTTCTGAGAGGAAGTCTCACTATGTGGCCCAGGCTGGAGTGCAGTGGTATAGTGGCATGATCTTGGCTCACTGCAGCCTCTGCCTCCCAGATTCCAGTGATCCTCCTGCCTCAGCCTCCACGCTCCACCATGCCAGGCTAATTTTTGTATTTTTAGTAGGATGTGATTTCCGTGTCATATGATAAAAGTGTGTTGACCTTTGTAAGAAAACACCCAACTCTTCCAGAATGGCTGCACCGTTTTGCGTTGGAAGGAGGGTTCCTGCTGCTTCCCACCCTCGTCAGCACTTGGCATCGTCTGTGTTCTGGATTTGGGCCGTGCTGACAGGTGTGTAGCAGCATCGCACAGTGCTTTGATCTGCAGGCTCCTGATGCCGAGACATGCAGCATCTCCCCACGGCTTCCTTGCCCTCTGGCGAGGGTCTCTTCAGGTGGGCTGCTTTGCTAAGTGTGTTCTGGTTCTGCACATGGTCTGGCTTTGGTGCATTCCACCTCTGGAAACAGCGGTGCCTCCACTGGAAGGAAGGCCGCTCAGCAATGGCAGGACAGGCGCTGCTGCAGGCCCCAAAGCCACATGGCTGAATCTCTAAGCCAGTGTCCCGGTGAAGGGAGCCGTGTGCTGGATGGTTCTGTGCCACTGTGTGGAAAAGGCAAAGCTGCAGGACGGGGCCCAGATCCACAATGGGCAGGGGACGGGCTGCCACGGGCACGGCAAGGCTTCCAGGGTGACGGACAGGGTGACAGATGCGTCCTATATCATGATGGTGGTTACACAGTTAGACGTTCATTAAAACTCATCTCACTGTACATTTTTAAAAGGTGATTTTATTGCATGTAAACGCTGCCCCCATTAACCTCCTTTGTCAAAAACTGTGTGTCCCGCCCACCTCCACTTTAAGGCTGGGGTCTAACACAGAGCCACGGATCCTGGAGGTCCTGGTACAGCTGAAGGCAGTGCTTCACACCCAGGCTGCCCCCATCCCCAGACACACACTCCTAGGCCAACCAGCCAGCCCTCCCTTGGAGAGGCCCTTCCCCCACCAAGGCCAAGCTGACCAGCAGCAAGCCCAGTGGGCTCTCGAGACTGGGGGTATGGGGCGGGGAGGAAGGGTGGGTGGCAAGGAGCAAAAAGGACCTGTGGCTTTGCCAAAGGCCAGTGCTGTGGGCTCCAGCCTTTGGGACACGCCTACTTCCAGCCCCTCCCAGTCAGCGCGGAGCTTCTGAAAAGACTTTCTGCTTGATATTATTCACAGACTTTAAAAACACACAGAGCTGTAGGCGTTGATGGTTATATGTGCCTGTAGCAGGGGAACAAAAACGTGGTACGAGATGGACAGACACCAAATTCCAAGGCTTGGTTTACAGTAGGAAGAAAGGGAGGTGGTGGGCTGGGGGTCGGAGGGTGGGAAGAGCCAGGAGGGTCAGCTCCAGTTGTATGTGTGGTCATAGATGCTTCAGGGTCCTCTAAATCACATGCGGGTCATCTGCAGAGAGTGACAGAGACAGAGGAGAGAGAGAACAAGACAGAGTCGCTGTTACATCATCTGTGTTTGTTTGTTGAGATGGAGTCTTGTTCTATCACCCAGGCTGGAGTGCAGTCAGTGGAGCGATCTCACTGCAGCCTCCACCTCCCGGGTTCACGTGATATGCTCCTCCCTCAACCTCCTCAGTAGCTGGGATTACAGGCACCTGTCACCACGCCCAGCTAATTTTTGTATTTTTAGTACAGACAGGGTTTCACCATGTTGGCCAAGCTGGTCTCAAACCCCTGACCTCAAGCAATCCGCCCACCTTGGTCTCCCAAAGCGCTGGGATTACAGACAGGAGCCACCACGCCCGGCCTACATCCTCTGTTGTACCTTCTGCTGCTGCCTCACTGTGCAAGTCAGGCCTACGCTGAGTGGCAGCGCTGAGGATTCCTTGCCAGGCTCACGGTCCCAAAGAGAAAGTCATCCACTCACCAGCGTTAGGTCTGCTGCAAGCTCTCGGGGGCCTCTGTAGCATTGAGCAGGTGACCTTTGGTTTCTACATCAGATTTTCATTTTCTTACATATTGGGTTGAGTCAAATGCTTCCTCTTCCCTTGTTGAAAAGTTGTATGATTTTTCTCCTTGGCTGTTAATGTGGCAAGTTACTGATTTTCAAATGTTAAACTTTGCATTCCTAAGACAAGCCTCACTCGATCGTGAGATGCTGTTCATTATATAATAGCTGGATTCGATTTAATGTAAAATATTTCTGTACCTCTATCCATGAGGAATATTAGTCTATACTTTTATTTTCTTGTGACTTTTTAGTACTGGTGTTAGGGCAATACTGGCCTCATGAAATGAGCTGAGAAATGTTTCTTCTTCCTCAAGTTTCTGAAAGAGGTGATGCAAAATCGGTCTTATTTCTTCCTTTTGATTGAATGTTCAACTGAATTCACCAGTGATGTCAGGAGGGCCTGGAGTATTCTTTGTGTAAAATTGTTTTTTTTTTTTTAAATTAAGAATTCTCGGCTAGGCGTGGTGGCTCACCCCTGTAATTCCAGCACTTTGGGAGGCTGAGGCAAGTGGATCACGAGGACAGGAGTTCAAGACCAGCAGGAGAATCACTTGAATTCAGGAGGCAGAGGTTGCAGTGAGCTGAGATTGCACCACTGTACTCCAGCCTGGGTGACAGAGCAAGACTCTGTCACTCCCCGCCCCGCCAAAAAAAATAAAGAATTCTTACCATAGGGTTACAAATAACAAAATAAAACACAGGCCTTGTGTGGTGGCTCTCATCTGTGATCCCAGCACTTTGGGAGGCTGCGGCCAGCGGATCAATTGACCTCAGGGGTTTGAGACCAGTCTGGGCAACACGGCATAACCCCGTCTCTACAGAACATTTTAAAATTAGCTGGATGTGGTGCACGCCTGTGGTCCCAGCTACTTGAGAGGCTGAGATAGGAGGACTGCTTGAGTCTGGGAGGTCAAGGCTGCAGTGAGCCGTGATTGTGCCACTGCACTCTGGCCTGGGTGACACAGTGAGACTCTGCCTCAGAACACAATAGTAATAAGAAATAAAACATAAAATTGTATGCCTTCAGTAGATACTGTGCTATTTCAATTTTCTATTTGTTTTTATGGCAGTTTGGATGGTTTGTGTCATTTAAGGAACGTGGCCATTTCATCTAAGTGACTGAATCTATTGGCAAAAGGTTGCTCAGAATATTTTCTTATCATTTTAACGTCCGAGGGATCAGGAGTGGTGGCCGGTGGCCACCTCTCTTTCCTGATGCTGGTAATTTGAGCCTTATCTCTTTCTTTTGTAATCTAGGGTTATCAATTTTATCAATCTTTAAAAGACAGCTTTTTATTTTATTGATTTTTCTCCATTGTTTCCCATGGTACTGACTTCCATTGATTTATTATTTAATTTACTTTGGATTTAATTTGTGCTGATCTTTTTTTTTCATTTAAAGATGAAAGCTTAGGTCGATTTTCAGCAAGTCCTCTTTTCTAAAAAGCATTCAAAGCCATCAGTTTCCCTTTAAGCACACGGGAGGGGCACTCCACACATTTAGATATTATGTATTTTCATTATAATTCAGTTCAAATATTTTCTAATTTCTCCTGCCATTCCTTCTTTGACCATCAGGTTGTTTAAAAGTACGTTGTTTAATTTTCAAACATTTAAGAATTTTTCAGATAGCATTGTGCGACTGGTTTCTACTTGAGTTGTCAGAAAACATACTCTGTGGTATTTCAGTCATTTTAAATGCATGCAGGCATGTTTTATGGCCTAACATATGGTCTGTCTTGGTGTGTATTTCATGTGTACTTGAAAAGAATGAGAGTTCTGGAGTTGCTGGGCATGGTGCTCTATAAACGTCAATTAGATCAAGCTGGTCGACAGTGTCAGTCAGGTGCTTTATATACCCTTGGTGATCTTTCTCTCTAGTGTCCTATCTGTTGTTGAGAGCAAGTGCTGAAATCTCCAACTATGACTGTGGTTCTGGTCTCCTTTCAGTTTACTCAGTGGCCATCTGCTCTTGCACGTATTTTGAAACTCTGTTATTACGTGCATACACACGCTTAGGACTGTCTCTTGACCAACTGAATCTCTTATCATTACGGACTGTCCCTTTCCCCATGGCAATATTCTGAAATCTGCGTTTGTCTAATATTAGCGTAGCCATGCCTGCTTTCTTCTGACTGGTATTTGCATGCATGTCCTCCACTTTCCTTTTACTCTCATCCTGTGTCTTTATATTTGAGTCACCCTGGTAAGCATCATGACATTGGGTCTTGCTTTTTATCCAGTCTGACAATCTCTATCTTTTAATTGGTGTGTTTAATCCATTCACATTTAATATAATTATTGATACAGTTAGATATAGGCTACCATCTTGCTATTTGTTTTCTATTTGTCAGGTCTGTTTTTGTCTTTTCTTTGATCTTTCCCTGCCTTCTTTTGGATTAGTATTTTCTAGGATTGAATTTTCTCTTCTCTCTGGGCTTATTAGCTATAGCTCCTCATCTTAATTTTTAGTGTCTGATCTAAGGTTTTCAGGATTTGCCTTTAATTTATCATTATCTGTCTTTAAGTGATATTATACTCACTGTAAAATACACAAACTTTACTCTGGTATATTTCTATTCTCTCTTCCCAGCATTTGTGCTTTTAATAAACACACAACTGTCTAGTATATTTTACTTTTACATATAAATCTAATGATGCACTATTATTTTCACATTAGTCTCTGATCTTTTAAAGAAATGTTTTGAAGCACAGAAAAAAGTCTCTCACATTTATTCACGTTTGCAATTTCCAGTGGGTTTCTACTCCTCGTACAGACCTGAACTTATATTTGGTATCATATTCTTTTGCTCCGAAAAGATTCCTTTGACATTTCCTATAGTGTAGGTCTATTGGTGATGAATTTCCTCAGCTTTTGCCTTAAAATGTCTTTATTTTACTTTCGTGTTTGGAGGATATTTTCATGGGAAATGGACATCTTGGTTGACAGTTTGTTTTCTTTCAGCACTTTAAAGATGTTGTTCTAACTCTCTCAGCTTTCAGTGTTTCTGATGACAAGCCAGCACTTATTTCTATCTTTATTCCCTTAAGATTTTTCCCTCTGTCACTGGTTTTCAGCCATTTCATTATGAGGTACCTTGGTGTGGTCTGCTTTGTACGAATGCTGCCTTGACATCTTTGTACTTACTCTACTTCATTTTAAGGCCCTTGCATCTATGCATCTACCAGGTTTTATCATATTTGGAAATTTTTCAGCCATTCTTTCTTCTTCTTTTTAAAGGCAGAGTCTTGGTCTGTCACCCAGGGTGGAGTATAATGGCTCAATCAGGGCTCACTGGACCCTCGGCCTCCCTGGGCTCAAGTGATCCTCCCACCTCAGCCTCCCAAGTAGCTGGGACTAGGCATGCACCACCATGCCTGGCTAATTTTTAAATTTTTAGTAGAGATAGGGTTTCACCATGTTGCCCAGGCTGGTCTTGAACTCCTGGCCTCAGTGATCTGCCCGCCTCAGTCTCCCAAAGTGCTGTGATTACAGGCATGAGCCGCTGCACCCAGACACTTTTTCAAATATATTTTCTCCCGTCCTATCTTGTCCCTTTCTGAGCCTCCAATCACACACGTTGTTAGACTGCTTGATACTGTCTCACAGGTCATCAGGGCTGTGTATTTCTCTTCCTAGGCTTCTCCTCTGTGTGCTTCAATTTCAATGACTTGTATTGTCCTGGCTGCAAGTTTACTGATCATTTTCCTCTCTAGTTTAATCTGCTGTTAATCTCATCAGTAGAGTTTTGGTTTCAGACGTTGTATATTTTCATCCTTAGAATTTCCATTTGGTCCCTTACTATACTTTCCATCTCTCCTTTGACTATGGTCATGGTTTCCTGTAAACCCTTGGGGGATACACACACAGACACACACATACACACAGACACACACAGACACAAACACATACACACACATACAGACACACACATATACATACATACACACACACATACACACACACACCACACACACATACACACATATACATACACATACACACACATACATACACATACACACACCACACACATATACACACACAAACACACACATATACACACACATACGCACATACACACACACATATACATACACACACCACACACACACATATATATTTCTTCTTAGACAGGGCCCAGGATAGAATGCAGTGGTGTGAGCTCAGCTCACTGCAGCCTCAAACTCCCAGGCTCAAGTAATCCTCTCACCCCCTGTAAACCCTTGGGGGATACACACACAGACACACACACACACATACATACACACACACAAACACACACACAGAGACACACATACACACACATATACATACACATACAGACACACATATACATACACATACACATACACACACATACGCACATACACACACATGCACACATACATAGACACACACACACATACACACACACACACATATATATATATATTTCTCCTTAGGGCCCAGGATAGAATGCAGTGGTGTGAGCTCAGCTTACCGCAGCCTCAAACTCCCAGGCTCAAGTAATCCTCTCACCCCCTGTAAACCCTTGGGGGATACACACACATACATACACACACACATACATACACACACACAAACACACACACATACACATACACACACATACACACACACACACACACACACACACATTTCTCCTTAGACAGGGCCCAGGATAGAATGCAGTGGTGTGAGCTCAGCTCACTGCAGCCTCAAACTCCCAGGCTCAAGTAATCCTCTCACCTCAGTCTCCTGAGTAGCTGGGACTCCAGGCACATGCCACCTCGCCCAGCTAATTTTTTTTTTTTTTTGTAGAGATGAGGTTTCACCATGTTGCCCAGGCTGGCCTTGAACTCCTGGACTCAAGCAATTCACCAACTCAGCCTTCCAAAGTGCTGGGATTACAGGTGTGCGCCGCCATGCCCAGCTGATCCTTGGGCGTATTTTTGGCCATTGTTTTAAATGCCTTCTCTGCGAATCCTGCCGTCCGTGTCATTTCTGGGTGTGTGTCTATTGACCGATTTTCTTCCTAGTTATTTGTCACAGTTTCCTGTTCCTGCTTTCACAGGCCTTGCAACTTTGCACTGGGTGCTGGAGGTTGTCAACGTCAAACTGTTTGTTTCCGGATTTTATTGGCCTCCTTTTCGAGAATGTTGATCTTTACGCTGATAGGCAGTTAACTCACTTGAGGATCCACCTGGTCCTTTCAGGGCATGCTTTGAACCTTCGTTAGGTCAGGTCTAGAGGAGCTGTCACCCCAGAATGACTTCAGCCCTTCTTTGGTATCTACTGAATATTCGGGGTGGTGAAGACCTTTTCCCTCTGTGGCCGTTTTCAGCCACCTCATGCTGAGGGGCTGTGGTGTGGTCTGCTTCGTACAGACGCTGCTTTGACTTCTTTGTATTATTCTGCGTCACTGTGGGGTTCTTGGGTCTGCAGATCTGACTTTTATCATATGTGGAAATTTTTCAGCCGTTCTTTTTTGAGACGGAGTGTTGGTCTGCCACCCAGGCTGTGGCTCGATCACGGCTCACGAGAGCCTCGAGCTCCCCAGGCTCAAGCAATCGTCTCACCTCAGACTCCTTAGTAGCTGAGATCAACAAGGGCTCTTCCGTCCTGGCAGCGGGTGTTCCAGCATGGCCTGGCCTGGTGTGACGCTCTGCCCACATAGTCCCCTGGCCACCGCTGGTCCCTGGCTTTGTGGGATCCCACCCCGCTTATGCACAGCTTAGTATTCAGCCTTGGCAGTATTCAAGCGGACCCCGGTGGGGATTTGGGGGCTCTTCTGCATTGCTGCCTCCTCTCCAGGACTCTCTCCACAGTCCTCAGCCTGCTTGACTTTCTGTCCCCACAGCCCAGTGAGGCCAGCAGCCTTCTTAGCCAAAGGCTTATCTGCTTCTTTCTCACGGAAATTTCTGTCTCTGCCACCTGTTGTCCAATGTTAGAAACAGTTGTTTCTTGTATTTTTTGTTCCATTTTTGAGCTGTTTGTGGTGACAGACGAGTCTGGTACCGACGACTTTGTCATGGCCAAAACACCTGACATGTTTCAGATTCTCAGCTTGGGGAAGACACATGAGGTTGCTTTGATATCTGTTGAGTGACATGCATGTCTTGAGACCTGAAATGGTCCCTAATGATGACTAGGCATCCTGGGCTATGGCGTCAGAACTTGGCTCTAACTGCAGCTGGGCCACTTACCAGCCAGGTGACAAGGGGCAAAACATTTCTCCTCTCAGTTAAAGGGGACACAATGACATCTGAGGGCCTTCTGTGAGAATTCAGTAGGGTGATGCAGGCAAGGGCCTGAGTGAGGCTGGGCACATGGTGGGTGCTTCATGGGAAGTGACGACCCCTCACTATTCTAGGGTACAAGGTGGAGGGGTATTTGCTCCCTAAACCCAATGCCCTGCCCACCAGCCCCGGATCCCTCACTGCCCCTCACCCACCTGCTGGATGCCCCAGCCATGGGCCCCACCCACCAGCACAGAGGTGCCTCTGTCCTCAACCCCCTCACAGGCATACCATCGGCCCTTTTCCCCACTGCACGGGTGGGACAGGACACCCACAAACTGCAGTGGATAACAGGGCAGCCCAGCGTTGAGGGCCTGAGGACGGAGGGCTGTCATGGCTTTTCCTCTACCCAGTGTGCTCCTGAGGGCCCCAGGGAGGGAAGAGAGCAGGTGGGAGCTCTGCCTACTCAGCCTGACAGGGAGGAAAAACTCACCCCACAGCCTCAGTCCACCCTCAGCCATTGGCACCCGGAATGGTCAAGGAAAAGGCCTCCTGAGGGGCTGCTGGCTTCAGGAACCACCTAAGGCCACAGGCTGTCCGTGCTGTGGCCCTGTGGCTGAGCAAAAGCTTGGAAAACTCACAGCAAGGCCGGCAGGAGCTCAGGCCACCTAGCAATGCTCGCTGGCTGTTAGACTTGGAAGACCCACATCTTCCCCCCTGCCGGCGACATGGGAGGGGAATCCCTCAGGGCAGGCAACATGCTGAGCCATAGGCTCTGGGTCCCAGCACAGCGGTACAGAGCATGCCACAGGCCTACCCAGCTGGCATGCCTCCCTGGGTGCTCTTTGCAGCCCCTTAGGTCTCCAAGCCTGTTTCTCCCAGCCTCTCCCTTGGGCCTTGTGCCAGGGCAGTCTTCTGTGTCATCATCAGGCCCTCATTTACAGCAGAGGTGACAGAGGCACAGAGAGGTCCAGCCATCAGCTCAGGAGACATCGCCAGCAAGGGGACTGTCCCAAGTGCACACTGAGTGGCCTCTGGGAGCCAGCAGGACATGGAGAGACAGAGCCAGACCCAGGGTGGCTGGAGGGGCCAAGCAGGGGCTGGACAGAAGGTGTGGGGTGCAGGCAACCGGGAGGCAGCTTCTCAGAGGGTTTTATGGGAAAGCACACAGCGGGTGTAGGGAACCTGGATCCCACTGAGTGGCCTTGTGCAAGGCTTCCGTCTCTGCTGAGTGGCCTGGTGCAAGGCTCCCGTCCCCGCAGTGGGTCTCAGTGACCCTACTGCACCCCAGTCCTCACAGGTCAAGGCTTCAAAAACCCTAGCTCCCTCCTGCAGGGTAGGTCTTGTCAGTGCAGTACCCATCAAGGACTCAGGGGGGCAGTAGCCACCCGCCTTTCCCAGGAGCTGCCTGAGGTGGAGCCTCCCCACAGGTGGCTTCAGGTGGAGGCTGCAGCCCACAGGGGTCACTCTTAGCTCCTCCATCATCCCCCCAGAGGGACGGATGGCCCATTGGACCCTTCTCTGAGGCAAGCCTGTGCCCTGCTCAGGTAGCACCTGACACCCAGGCAGCCTCTGCCACAGGGCAGACATTGGGGGACTCTTGTGGTGTGACCAGTCCAGGAGAGGGCAGGGCAGGCCAAGGAGTGCCAGGCAGGCCGCCCCTCTAGCCATGACACCTGAGAAAATGCCAAGTGACAGCCCCAGAGCCTGCAGCGCCTCCTCACCCTGCAACGGGATCTCACGGCCACCCAGCCCAGGGAGGCAGGTGCTGGGAGGAGGGCGGCCAGTGCCCTCCGGCTGGCCCACCGGTGCCCAGCCCATGCCCCGAGGCCTGGGGTCAGTGAGGGATGCTGGTGGAAGCTGACCCAAAGCCCAGTGTGGATGTTCTCACGGAAGCCTTTGGCAACAGGCCTTTCCTGAAAAGGGGATGGGGGAGACAGGTCAGAAGTGGGGCTGGGCCCTGGGACCTCAGGTCACATTCCTGACTGGCTAGGCCCCACCCCTCCCACAGCACCAGGAGCCTGAATCCTGAACCCCCAGCCTGGGGGCAGCTGCAGCCTCTGCCCCTGGCCCTCCCTGATATTCACCCGCGTTCCCAGCAGGCAGAGCAAGGCAAGGCCAGGCTCGGAGTGCAGGCTCAGCCCCCGTGCACGCCGGCGAGCGCCTTCCTTTCCAGGACTCGTGGGGACGACGGCGACTCGACCACACCAGGAAGGTGGCCAGGGTGCTTTGTGCGCTCTTGGCTGCCCTTGGCCGCCTGGCTTCCAAGAATCCAGAGGGCCGGGCTTTTCTACAGCAAACATCGGGTCCCTGCAGGCAGGTCTCCTTCCGGGAAGGCTTCCTGGAGGAGGCGGTGGGGCGGGGCCTGGAAGGAGAGCGACGCAGGAGGGAGCCGAGCCGCTCCTCAGCGCCGGGGAGGCAACTACAGGGCCGGCCTCGGCCGGCCTCTGGGTGGGGGTTGGGGGAGGGGCGCGGTGGCTCGGCGGGAGTCGGGAGGCACTAGCAGGCCCGGCCAGTCACGTGGGCTCCGGCCGGCCCAGGTGGGGCTGTGACCTGTGACGCGGGAGGCGCAGCCACAGGTGCCCTGGGCGCGCCCCGCCCCCTCCCGCCCTTCCCCTCCCCTCCCCTCCCCTCCCCGCCCGAGGCCTCGGACCCGGAGCTGCCAAGCCCGCCCAGCGCCCACCTGTGGGGCCGCAGCCGCTGCCCTCCCTCCAGACCGCGCAGGAAGTTGGGAAGGCGACCCGGGCGGGACCGCACGGCCGCAGGAGCGAGGCGGCTGCAGGACCGGACGGGACCGGGCGCTGGAGGCTGTACCGCCTCGCCGCGCCGCGGCACAGGTGAGCCTGGAGGACGGGGGACAGGGCGACGGGGGAAGGAGACGGGGAGAGTGGGAGAGGGAGAGCCGGGGGACGGGGAACTGGGGGACGGGGGGACGAGCCGGGGGACGGGGGAGCCGGGGGATGGGGGGACGAGGAGCCGGGGGACGGGGGGACGAGGAGCCGGGAGACTGGGCTAAGTCTGGGGGAGGCGCCGGGAACCGGGGGCGTCTCTCCTCCCTCCGCTTTTCCCGCAAGCTCCGCCCCGGGATCCGCCGCAACCTCGCGACCCTCCAGCGGCTCCGCCGGGCGGGAAGAGCGGGAGGGGCGGGGCTGCCGGCTGCGCGGGACGCGACCTTGGACCCCCACCCGGCCCTCTCTCAACCCCGGCGGCCGCTTCCTCTTCCTAAAGGAAAAATGCAGCCGGAACCTGGGCTCACCCTTGAGCACCTAGGACTGACTCTGGAAGCTCCAGGGAGTTCGAAAGAGAGTGGGGTGGGGGGCGGAACAGAACGACCATCTCGGGAGCTCTTGAGAATCTGCCGTCCAAACCTGCTTTGGTCCCCGGAGTTCAGAAAAGCCCCAAGAACGAAGACCCCGCCCAGGACAAACCAAAAACCACACGCCCTTCCCCCACCCCGTGGACTTGGTGGGCGGTGACAGGGAGGGACCTGCTTTGTCTCCCCTGAAAAGGGAGGCAGGGAGGGGCGCCGGGTGTGTCCCACCTACCAGGGAGCCGAGGGCTTGTCTTAGCCGCTCAGCCTGTTTCTCTCTCTGTGAAATGGGAACAAGACTCCTTTTTGAGATTTGAGTAAGTGTGGGGGCTTCAGCCCAGCGCTCAGCATAAGGTGGGGGGACCGAGGGAGGGGCAGCCAGGACAGGGCTTGGTGGCCTCTGCATCTGACCTGAGTCAAGGCCTGAGTCTTCCCTGTATCTTTGAGGGGAACGTTCTGCGCACTGCCTAACATGGGGACTTAGGGGTGCATTCGGGCCTGGCTGGGACCAGCAGGAGGGTCCAGGTGCCGTGCGTGGCTGCGGGCCCTGACCCCTCCATGCTGTAGTGCCCAGCTGTGTGGGTTCCAGGCTCACATGCTGGCTCTTTGAGAACTAAGGCAAGTGACTTCAGCTCTCCGGCCTCGGTTTCCTGATCCGTAAAATGGGAATAATAGGCGTGTGGAGGAGTTAGAAGATGTTGACCCACAAGTGTGCCAGCCAGACGTGGTCCCTGCTCTGCCATGCCCACAGCCTGCAGAGGGGAACAGGGTGAGAAGCAAGGCACTGTCCAGAGCAGGAGCCAGGGCCGAAGCTGGGCATGCCCCACCCACCCCAGTCCCAGTGGAAGGGAGGCGTCTTGGGGGCTTCCTGGAAGAAGTCAGGTCCAAGTCAGCTGGAGGGTGAGATGGGTCTCCCCCAGCTGGACACTGGGGAGAAACCCTTGCTGGGCGGCCTCCCTGAGGGCGCTAGCTCTCCAGGGGCTGTCTCTGACCCACGGGACCAACATATGTCGGAAGCACTTTCCAGCTACACATGATGAAACTGAGGCACAGAGGTGAAGCAGTGAGGAGAGGCGTCCCAGGGTCCCCACAGCCCACGTGTGGAGCATGGGTCCCCTCCCCCCATCCTAAGGATGGCCATCTGTGTTCATGTTGTGAGCCAGGCGCAGGAGTTCCCTCAGAGTTCGCTGTGAGTTTTAGTTCTGGTTTCCAGATGGATCTGGGCTGCTCCTGTCCTTAGCGCAGGGGACCATGTGGATCAGTGTCCTTATTTCTGGTGACTCCCTGGCTGAGGCCAGAACCCCCACTCCCCCGTCCCCGTTTGGGGTCAGTCATCTCGGTCAAGACGGCCTGGCCAGCAGCCCTACCCAGGCAGGCTACATTCCCTCTGCACCTGGTTTCCTTATCTGCCAGGGAAAATACCCACCTTCCAGAAGTTTGGGGAGGAGCAGAAGACACCACAGTGGGTGATGGGGCATTCAGAGGGCACGGTCTGTGTGTCCCACAGCAGGTGAATGGGTGGCAGGAGACCTGTCACCCTTGTGGGCACCTGTCACAGGCAGGCTCTGATTCCCACCCTTTGGGGGAACCCTGTGAGTGGCAGCAGAGCCAGGACAGGGCCTGGGTTTATGGCACATTATAGGGCTGTGGGCCCTACAGGGTCGTGGGGTGTCCCTTATGCTGTGCTGAGGTGCAGAATCCAAGAATTAAAGAGACAGAACACTGGAGAACTGGTGAAGAGCAGCTGGACTCGGGGAGGCCACGCCGCCTGTGAGCGGAGATCAGCAATGGCCCCAAATGCTCCAGAGCATCTGTATTTATTAGGTACAAGCAGGGGGCAGGGTCGTGAGTGAGGTCATCATCTATAGGCTTAGTAATAGGGCATACATAATCATATGAGTCACAAGCGAGGGGACACCCCATTATGTCACCTGTGCAGAGGTGGGCTGTACGCAGTAGGGGGGCGTGCCATGTGCAGTAGTAGAGGGTCGTGTACAGAAAAGGGGTCCACCCCCATTAGGTCACCGAGGCAAGGAGGTGGGCTGTGTGCAGCAGGTGTCGTGCACAACACTTCTTATCTGGGGGCTGGAGACTTCAAAGGGTTTCTAATAGAAGGATACTGTATTGGGAGGCCGAGGCGGGTGGATCACGAGGTCAAGAGATGGAGACCATCCTGGTCAACATGTTGAAACCCCATCTCTACTAAAAATACAAAAAATTAGCTGGGCATGGTGGCGCGTGCCTGTAATCCCAGCTACTCAGGAGGCTGAGGCAGGAGAATTGCCTGAACCCAGGAGGTGGAGGTTGCAGTGAGCCGAGATCGTGCCATTGCACTCCAGCCTGGGTAACAAGAGCGAAATTCCGTCTCAAAAAAAAAAAAAAAAAAGAAGGATACTGTAAGCCAGTGCAGTGGGAGCTGATAGATATTTGCTCTTCTCTTAAGATATTTATGGGAGGATGCTTTGAGCTAGCACAGAAGCGAGAAAAGACTGACAGGGTGTACAGCCGCCGTGACTGGTCACACCAGAGGGGTTCTTCTCCCTCGGTTACTTCCAGGATCTCAGGCCTGAGGCCCACTTTCCACAGGAACTGGATGCAAGTTATTATACCTCCTTTATCAGGAGGAGAGGCTCCTGCTCCAAGCCTGCCATACAGCGTTTGCCCTTTCAGGCGGGGACACCAGCCCAGCCACCGCCTGGGTCTTTGGTTCTCGTCCTGGTCTGGCTGTTTCCCATGTGCTGCTTCTGTTCAGTGACTGTTCTAGGCATTCCTCCTACTACAGACTATTATATGGTTATATAGAAGGATTGTACAAACCAGCACTAAATGTGTCAGTACAGCTCTGACTACGATACCTGTATGATTATATAGAAAGATTATATGGGACTAAGTGTCATTATATATATAAGCTAGTATAGTAAGCAGTGAGTTATGCTCAGGCACTACCTGTGCGTGAGGTCTGCACAGTTCTCCTTCCTCAGTGCCCGTGGCAGGTGTTACCCACAGCCCATCTTGTTCAGAGTCAGAGCCGGAGCTGGGAACTGACTGGAATGCACTTGGGCTAAGCCGGCTGTGTCCAGGTCAGAGGGCCAGGCGCACTTCGCCCCCACTGTGCGAGGTGGCTCTCGGCTTAGCTGCCCAGGTTTCCCCCTCGAAGCCCTAGGGACCTTGTGACGGGTGTGTCCAGCAGCCTCGCCCACAGTAGGCAGGACTCTGACTACCAGCAGAGTCTCCTGGGGAGCAGAACTGCCCCAGTGAAGGCCGCAGAGCCAACCCCTGGCTACCTTGCAGAGGGAGCTGGCTGATGTGTGCTTCGTGATTTACAAAACCAAATCCTCCCCCGACTGATGCAACTGATTCCACATCGTGGCCGGGCAGAATTACCCGAGGACAAGGGCATTATTGTGGCTTGAGTTTGCCTGCGCTGAGGTTGGATGGACAGGTGCTGGGGAGGCCACACCCCACTGGGCCGAGTAGGGTCAGCCAGACTAGAGGCCAGGATAGGAGGGACAGAGCTGCCTGAGGACCACGTGAAGCTGGAGGCCCGTGCGGTGTCCTAACTGGAGGGGCAGCAAACTTGGGGCAGTTGGGTCCTGGCCTTGAGAGCAGCTGTGCCTAGAGCCCCAGGCCCCGGCTGGGAGACTGTACTGCTGTGGGAAAGCAGGAGGGATGGGGCTGGTGCCCACTGGAGTTCCTGGAAGCACATCTCTCTGGAAAGACGAGGAGGGACGGGGCTACAGGGCAGCCTACCCACCAAGGCCAGGTCTGAGATGCAGCAGTCCACCCAGGCCAAGTGCACACAGGACCAGACAGGCCGGCGGCGGCCCCTGAGGCTGGCCAGAGACCACGGGCTCCACCTGCTCCCCTCTGCTGCTCGCCACTTCCTGGCAAGTCCCTCATGCCCTATAACCACCTGACACGTGTCACCTGTGTGGGGTATACCAGGTGGGGTATTTAGTGGTAAAGAGAAGAGAGAGCTCTGGGTCCCAAGGCTCAGCCATAGGAGGTCCTTTCCAGTGCACCCTGAGCAGAAGCAGCAGGAAGTCACCCAA